AATATTTCTTCAGCAACATATATATTCCAATTATCAAGTAATTAATATACTTTTACCCTACACAATGCGTCTATCAAGAAAGGGACTTCGATTGCAATATTATATGATTAATATGTTCGGTTTACTCAAATAACCGTGGTTACTTGTCCCTGGATCTAAACCGCATGAAGTAAGGCGTGACTTCTTTAAGACGTTGATGTCTTTTGTACGAAAAAATCTGAACCTCACTTACGTGTCGAGTTTCTAGGTTTTCGCGAGTTGCCATTGGGAATAAAAGTGGTTTTTAGGATTTGAAATCACATATATTTGTATCTATCAACGTTTTGTACTAACAAGCTCTTTAGCAGCAGTAGAGTTCTTTGTAAAAGAGCTCGTCCAAGGAAATACTGCCACCTTACTTATTTCTGCGGCCAAGCAGTCATGTGTATTACTGCGTTCCAATTTCGAAGTGTAATGGTGCTGGGGAAATTACAGGCACATGGAACTTGTCAACTTATGTCTCATGGTGACGAGCGCAATAGCAGTGCACCTCAGATCTTTGCGATTTAAAGCTCTGAGTGGTGCTGCAACTGTTATGGACAGGTGACTAGCTTACCATAAGACGCACGTCTTGTTCCGTTACTATTAAAAAAAATAGAAGCCTCAAGGTAACGGCTGACAGAGATGATATTAATGCAATTAATGCTGAATGAGGTGCCATTCTAATTTTGTATGATACTAAGTGGTGGGGTGAACAAGTCGTGCGCCAAGTAGTAACGAATCTCCTGTTTGTAGCAGTTCCAGTGCTACTCAGAGCTTTGCAGCCTTTATTACGAACTTCCATCAATAATTCCAGTGCACGGATAAACCTGCTCAGGTTTTTATTGTGCCACCAGATTTAGACGAATACCTATTCTTTTTGTATTTTTTTTTAATTAAAATAACAATAAAACAGCTTTAAATCGAGAAGATGTAAGCAGCACTACCACTGCGTCCGTTACCCAGAGACCTAAGCTGATAAGGGCATGTGCCAGTAATTTCACCAGCACCTTAACTCCAACCTCAATTCCAAACTGGAAAGCAGTAATGCTCACATTACTGCTTGGCGGCATAAACAGGTAAGGTGGCAGTACTTCCCTGGACGAACTCTTCCACAAGAAGCTCCTTGTGAAAGAATTCGTCCAGAGTAGAGCTCTACTACTACTCACCTCAAATTAAATTGAGTCAGAGCGTAACATTGTTCATGTTAATAGTTAATAAATAATGTAGTAATATTGATTTATATAAATAAATGTAGTAGTATAACAATGAAACATGTAATTTCTTATTGAGATTTGTAATCTTTTGTTAGCTTATTAAATATAAGAATGTAATATTAAGATGTAATTAAGGAGAACGTGCAGCACCCGGACAAACCAATGTAGGTTTAAGGGTGTGATGTATATATATTTTTGTAATATTCTTAGTGTTTAAAATAAATAAATAAAAAAAAAAATGTATGCAGTTTGTTCGATAAAAATATTTAATTTCTTGTAACACGAATTTCACAACATTTTGCCGTTTTAGCCATCTAGTAAACTTGAAAGTAACTTATCGTAGAGAGCATGAATGTCTATACGTAACAAAAACTACACTAAGAATATAAGGACCTAACAAACCAAACAACTCCATCCGCACATTTATTTACTCACAAACAAAATTGGCTCTTGGAATCTGCGCAGACGCAACTAAGGAAACAAGTATGTCTATTTAGAATGTGCACAAGGATTATTTATTGTTATTTAGCTCGGGACTAACCGTTACTTGTGCATTGAATGCATTAAACAATGACCAATTCTGATGTAACTGGATTTGCACAGAAATGGTTCTTCCACCTGTTTTTAGTTTATTACATTATAAGGTTTAGTTTTAAGTTTTTGCTATTATTTAGTATCTAAATGTCTTTTCTCACTCAACAATAATCATTTGTTATATATTTCTTTCTTTCTTATTACCTTTTAATACAATAAAAAAGAGAAAACAAAGATGGAAGGAGCATATAGAAATTTCGTTCATCTTCTTTGTTCTTTTAATTCGTTCCATTTTAATTCACGTCTTGCTAAGAAACCTATAACTATTTAGATTTTATTTAGTGTCAATCGTAGTCACTAATCGATTTTTAAAAATTTACATACTCTACTTTCTAAGCATAGATAAATGTTTTTTTTTTATATTTTAGATTTTTTTCTAATATAACAAATGAATATCTACATCGATACGTAATTACTATCAAGAATAAAGTTCAATTTGAATTGCAGTTTACTTTCCAATATCTTTTCCCATTGTTCTGTCAATAAATATTCAATCCCTTGGCTATTAAAAACGAAAAATTGTCAAATGCATAATATAAACAACTTTTGTAGTTAATGAGTAGGCCAAAGTCTTTTTTGCCATTAGCCAAGTTTAAATGAAAAAAAAAATTAATGTTATGTTGTTTGGTTTTTTAAAAATAATATTTTGGCGCGCATTTTAAGAATGGGCGGAAAAGTTTTAAGTGTATAATTCGAGATAAATTTGTGAACAGTACAAACATTTCATCGTGATAATGCCAAACCACACACATCTTTACAAAGCCGTAAAAAATAATTGCAATTAGATTGGAACGTGTTACTTCGACCACCGTATTTACTCGACATAGGCCTTTCAGATTTTCACTTGTTTCTGTCTATCTTTGAATAGACACCGACTTTGATAACGAAGAAACACTTAATGCTGTATTTTATAAGTAGAGAGAGGAATTTTTATGAAAGAAGAATTAAAAAATTACCCGAAAGATGGCAATTGATTAACATGGCCATTTTAATATAATTGATTAGAGTTTGATATTTCTTCTTTAAGCGTTTTTCGCTTACTTTTTGCCAGCGCTAAAGGCGCTCTAAACAGTAACTTGACTCAAGTAATTCTTTTGCCTTTATTTTAATGCGTATGCATTACATTTCTTTTTTTATTTATTTATATACTCACACCCTTAGCCTTTAGATTCCCAGTGGGGTGTGCAGAGACTATTGACAGCCAATTAACGCGATCCTGACAAACCTCTCTTGCGTCACATTCATCATTTTTTTTCATACAGGCCTCCTATTCTTCTCACTACGTACCAGGCTGTTTAAGAATACTCAATTTGATCTGAAAATGTTCGTGGCCGTTTTCCTATGATGTCTTCCACGCCCGCTCTATATTTCTTTCATCAATCTACATTCATTCATAGGCTTCATAAGCCCAAACTACCTCACATACCATGTTCTATTTTTGTCACTACATCTTTACTTCTATTTCTAAGTTCAAAATTAATAAATTTACTCATAGAATCTGCAGTGACTGAATTAAAAAAAGAAAAGAAAATTTACTTTATTTGTTTAACACAAAAATAATATTATAACGTTTATTAATTTACTTTTTTATTCACACAGGTTGACACTCAACATTCAATGTGATACTTATCGACATAGCTTTATATATCGACTCTTGCGCATCATACGCGTAACTAAACTTAGTAGAGTTCAATAAATATATAAATAAGTTGTAGGGGTTGCGAGTTAGTATTTATAATTTAGTTTTTCTAGCTTTGGTCGAGACGCGGGTCCTCTCTAAATTATTAGGACATAGTCCGCCAAACTAGCCTAATTAGGATTGGGAAGTATACACGTTTTCTAAGGGTTATGGAGTTTGTGTAAAGTGCAGATCTCGTCATGTTTTCTTCCACCGTTGGCAAGAGTTATTGCTTCTAAACATTTAATACGCACGTAACACAGAAATTACGGTCATAGGTACAAGCCGTCACAGTGAAGCGAACCATTGACCTCTGAATTGAAAAGCATCCGTTCTCCTACTAGTACCACCGGTCTTGTTCAAATTAACTATAACATTATATAATAATAAATTTCATTTGTTTTAAGTTTTTACCTACGGTACCACTTTTTTCTTCCGTCCTGAAACATAGGAAGCAATATTGATTTTCTTTAAGTACTTATCTTTTAATTAATTAAAATAATTTTAGATACTAGCTACTTGTTTAGTTATACAATTTTTTGTTTTAGGAAAACTAACGAACAATTGTTTATCTTTTAAAAGCTGCGTATAAGTTGCTGAGTGGGCTTGTTACTTGAAAAGGAATAATTTTAGTTTTAGTTTTTTTTTAAATTTCATCTTTCAGTGCGGTAGAAAATAATCTAAACTTTCAACGCTGCAACCGCTAGTGTAGCTTTTTCACCCATTAAGGGTTGAAAAAGCTAGTCACTAGTGTCCTTTTTGTGCAAATCTTCTGAATCGTTTGTTTTATGTCTAACTCGGAAATTTACATAATAATATCTTATATTATACCTAATGCAGACTTTATTTTTTGTTAAGCTGAAACACCTTAACCTACACCTGTAGTTAAATGTGTTACAAAGATAATACCCTTGTTATTAGATATCCTTATCTTTACTAATATAGTTTTCGTAAGTTATTTGTTTCACTGTAGTTTAAAACTGAATGATATTAAAAGTATCTCTACAAATTTCTAATTTTCTGACCTCTATATTTTCTTATTTTATAAATGGCATTAGTTAACGTGGCTATGAACTTCGAAGAAGTTAATATTTATTATCTTGTTTTACAAATAAATGTGTTCTTCCTTTAAACTCGATTTTAGTGTGGCCAAGTTACAACTTGCTCACGTGTAAGTTAGCAATCTATAAACACCGTTAAGAAACCTAGGTTAATCCCAACTTTTAATATTATGGCCATTAAATAAACTGAATTACAACTCCAGTTCATCTTAGAACTAGTTTTCACTAACGCTTTCGAAGCACGAGTAACTTCAAGCACATATCTCTTGAGTTCGTTCAGATTTAAGTTGCGCCTATGTTTGAGTTATAGAACGCGTGTACTAATATACCGTTTGTAAGCTTTGTAAAGTGTGCTCTCATAAGTGTAATACAAGTTGAACTTTTATTTGGTTTAATTGATTAAACCTAACTTAATCGTAACTTAAAACCAACCTCCAAAATCTTTAGCACAACACACTTTGTGACACCATAATCAAAATTCTGTTTTGTTTTTAAAAGGAAATTTGAATTAAAAATAGAAATAATATTAACACTGAATTCACAGCACTGCAATCCAATCAAGTTGGCACTTTAGGAAATTGGAATTTGGCACTAAGAAAACTGTTTTGTTTTATCTTTAACACGGCGGCGCATGCGTTAACGCCGAAGGCTCCGGTGGCACTAGCTGAGCGACGGGCGCGCGGGGGATGGTGCGGTCGCGGCGGGGGGGTGGAACAGGTTGCGCGCGCGCATACCGCCCGAACGCCAATTTCGAGGCTCGGGATGAAGGGACGCGTTCTTACGTTTCGACGCGATCAACGGATAAGGTGATAAAAGATAATACGATATCGTTGAAGACCTAATGCTTGGTAATATATTCTGTATACATACCCTTACAATTATAGCGTTTTGTGTAGTAGCGTGTTTCCTTACGGAGTACAAAGTAGAGTGGGTACAATATTGTGCCAAAGTATAGAAGAATCATTGTTAAAATCATCAATCAAATTTGAGATGAAAATATTGCTCAATTAGCGATCTGCAGTGGCCCGTATGGAACCCGTCGCTGCGAGACAAGATGTGTACATTTCAAGATGATATAATTCAGTGATGCCTATGTGACTGCAGCGCCCCAACACAGTCAATACAGCACTTGTCCGTGTGCCCCATGTGCCCGACCTGTGCAAAGGAAGATCCTTATCTTTAGTCAAGGTGACAATACACTATTCAAAGTCAATATAAAACTAAAACAAAAGAAACATCTTTATGAAGAAAAAGAACCGAAAGTTTCAGTTTGTTGAAGTTTTGTGAAACGACAACAATAATTAGCTCAGTCAGTATGTTGAGCTGAAATTTTATACAAAGTAGACTTTCTTGAACTAAGAGATAACACACAAAAACATTATTATTACTATTCCTATTTCATCCATCCATATTTTTGATAACAACGTTATGTAGATTTTTATGTATGCATTTAAAATGTTACCATTGGCACACTACGTCTCCCACTTTGTTTATTAGTCCTCTGTATCAAAGATTTTGGTAGCAGTAGAGCTCCTTAAGAAAGGAAAAGGAAAATACTTCCACCTTACTTCCACTATTTCTACCGCCTAGCGGTAATGTGTACTGCGTCCCGGCTTTGAAGGATGCTAATGAAGTTACAGGCACATGGGACTTGTCAACTTACGAGTATGTCTCAGAGTGACGGGCGCAGTGGCAGTGCCCCTCAGATCTTTGCAATGTAAAGTTCTGAGGGCACTGCAACTGTTATGGACAGGCGTGTCGCTTACCACCAGGTATACGAGTTCTTCGTCATAAAAAAAAACTTCATTGTAACAACCACTGAATATTCAAATAAACAATATGCAGCAGGTGGCCTTATTGCTAAATTGCATTTTCTTCCAGACGTTTGCGTTACGAGGTTGAGGTAAATTTACACATAATTGTACTGTATATTATATACAGTCTATTGAGAGAAGGATTGCTTCTCAATAGGAAGGTTTGCGGTTCGATTTCCTGTGGCGCAATACACCTATAATTTTAATGTGCAAGTATATTTGTGACTTATTGTTAGTAATATCTCTTGATGATTATTTTTATAATACCCAATGACGGGACGAACAAGTTGCAGTGCCACTCAGAGCTTCAAATCGCAAAGATTTGATGGCACTGCCACGGTGTCCGTCAGTCTGAGACATAAGTTGACAACGCCCGTGTGCTTGTAATTTTACCAGTACCCTTATCCTTCATGACCGTAACGCAGCGAGCATTACCGCTTGGCGGCAGAAATAGGTAAAACTTCGTGGGCAAACTCAATTTCAATTGGATATTACATTTTATTTACCTCGCGTTAGTGTCTTGTATATTGCATAACATTACACTTCATCATTACCTTGATCAAGTCGTTGTTTTCTTATCAAACATTAAGTTATTGGGACACGTGGCATTTAAGCAAATAATAATCAAACTAACCTTACACTTTTGTAAAGCTAAAACACAATAATAAATTTAGTGACTTGCTAGATATTACTTTACCCGGAATTAGTGACCAAAAATTTTGGTGCTCCAAATAATTGCATTGTGTCTCATATTTTAGTAAAATACAAAAGTGCTACAAGCTGTTATAATTTTATTATAATTAGTTTAATGTAATAAATTTATTATAATTTAACTGTCTCAGTGGCCATACGGTTACCGTGCTGGTGCCTCACGTAGATGTCCCGAGTTCGATTTCCTTACCGGGAGAATTATTTTTTCTTTTAATACATTCGGGTCAAAAATCATTACTTATTTATTGAAAAAAAAAATGCTTCCAACTTGCTTTAACTGCCTCCGTGGCCGAACGGTTACCATGCCGGACTGCCACGCAGAGGTCCCAGGTTCGATTCCCGGGCCAGGAGAAATATTTGTATGACCTACATTTATTTCTCTCGTGAGTTTGGGTGTTGTTTGTGATTGTCTATGTATGTGTTTCCCTATGAAATGTGTCAGGGCCATGTTTGGTGTGGGCCAGCGAGAAAGCTGTGTACCCTATTTTAGAAAACTAAAGATTTTAACCCTACCATCTATGAATATTTACGAGGCCTGTGTTTATACAAAACAAAATCCAGGCAACTTTAATCTAGTGAAAACCAGACATCCCAGGAAAACAAGGTACAAAATAAATACGGCCAAAACAACGCCCCACCTTGGAATTTCACAATAGAACGATGTTTATATTGGCACCTAAATTATTTAATAAAATACCAGATGCAGTTAAAGAACTAAATTGTAGGCAATTTAAAATAAAATTACATAATTTGTTAGTTACACAATGCTACTACAATATAAATGATTTTTTAATAGATAACATAAAATGTAAAATTTAACCACTGTGCGTGATTGAAATAAGAATTGTGTAAAATATTCGCATGCCAAGTTTTGGTGAAATGTACGGTCTAATAATAATATGCTATAACACCATTGTAAACTACATTTTTCAGCGAATAAATATCTTGTATTCTTGTATTTCCTAGTGCTGGGCTGTGTGTATGTTTAAGAAACATAATAATAATTAGCACATATCGTTCGTGAAGCATCTCATACTAATACCCACATAATTTAGCAGCAGTAGAGCTCCTTGTAACAGAGCTCGTCCAAGGAAATACTGCCACCTTACCTATTTCTGCCGCCAAGCAGTAATGTCAGCATTACTGCAATCAAGTTTGGAAGTAAGGGTGTTAGTGAAATTACAGGCACATGGGACTTGTCAACTTATGTCTCAGGGTGACGGGCGCAGTGGTAGTGCCCCTCAGATCTTTGCGATTTAAAGCTCTGAGTAGCACTGTAACTATTATGGACAGGCCAGTGGCTTACCATCAGGTACACGCCGTGTTCGTCCCGTCACTTGATATTATACTCGTATAAAAAAAAACATCAAGTGGCTAGGATTCAAGGTATTTTTTTTTAATAATAAAACATCTAAATAAATAAATAACGCACACACTCAACATAGCCCCGCACTAGGGAAACCCTGTGTCGCGGGTGCCATGGACACACACATAGACAACCACAAATTACACCCAAACTCACGAGAGAAATAAATGTACGCCATACAAACATTTCTCCCGGCCCGGGAATCGAACCTGGGACCTCTGCGTGGCAGTCCGGCATGGTAACCGTTCGGCCACGGAGGCAGTTGATCTACATGAATAATAATAATAATAACGCACACACCCATAGTTCCGCACTAGGGAGACCCTATATACATAGCTTGTGGTGGTGGTGGTGGTACACAGGCAACCACAAATCACACCTAAACTGACGAGAGAAATAAATATTTCTCCCTCTCTGCGTAGCTGGCAACTGTTCGGCCACAGGAAAAGTTAATGAATGTATTAAATTATTTATTTAGTTGAATATTTATTTAAATTATGAAATTAATAAAAAATATTGGTGTTAAAAATATTTTTCGTACGTGTCTTTTGTTAACCGAATATTTGTCGTAATTAATAATTGTACAAAGTTTTCATGGAGAACTACGATTTTATTCGCTGTTATAAGTTTTTTTTTTTATTTCAGCTGTTTTCTGTGGTAGAACATACTTACAATCACTAGATGTATTAATTTGATTTAACCTTATGTTACACCTTTTACAAATAAACATCATCATCAACTCATTTATACGTTCCGCTGCTTGGCACGGGTCGTCTTTCAGGCGTAGTCCGCCACGCTGTACCAATGCAGGTTGAGGACATCACACGTTTTCTGAGGATTGTAAACCTATCGCCAGGGCTGTTAGCTGTAAAGTTGCCTAACTGGGTGACGAAATACTTTGATAGATTTCTCATAGATGGCGTTACGACTAAAGTCTAAAATCCGACAAAACAAACACATGGAAAAATTCGTGAGGTCCGCTGGTTCGTTGCGTGGCCTAGTTGGCACAGCGTCTGGCAAAGACGTCGGTTCGAATCCAGCCGGATCGTAGGAGTTTTTTCTAAGTGTTCTTTGTATTAATAATTATTGTAAACATTCTTTGAAGTCGATATTTTCTTTTACCTAAAAGTTCATGGTAAATTTCAAACAAAATTCAGAGGTGCAATCGCGGATTCGAATCCACGGCCTCTGCGTGAGAACTGGTAGGTCGAACCATTAGGCTACCACGGCACCTATAGCCATACATAAACTTAGTTTAGTCTAAGGCAAATTGTATTTAAGAAATTGGTAAACAAATTTTAGGGATCCAAATAAC